ATCTAAAACAAAAATGTATAAACCATATATATATATATATATTATATCTATATATCTATATATATATTATATTTATATTTCATATCCCATCTTGTTAGTATGAGCACAATATCCTTTACTGACAGTAGTCTCTGTTCTCGTTAACCCTTCAGTAGTTCACCATGTCTGATCTGCCGCCTGGCGATGTCTATGAAAATGGTCCAGACAGGATCAGTATCGGGGAACCGCAGCAGAGGACCGCCCTCACCACAACAGATAAAACGGGACAAACCGGTCCTAAAACCGGCGACGCAGCACACCCACCCCAACCCCTACAGACGCAGCAGGACAAGCCAAGCTCGCCGCAGCGATCCAGTACCACTCGCAGGCAGTCACGTTCAAGCATCCACTCATCACACACACGCACACCCTTACCCGCACCGTACCCGTGTGTGGACACAGCAGAAGAGTTGTATGGCATGTTGTGGGAAGGAGGTGATCTGATGGGCGTGGCGAATGCTCCGCCTGTGACCAATAGACAGTTGCTGAAGGCTTTGAGCAGACTGTACTGGAAGCAGGTGGCCTGGGCCTCGACACTGTTTGTTGTGCAGGTAAACGGGTGGGTTGTGTGGTTGTAGGTGTGGGGGTGTGTAGTATTTGTAGCTATTCGTGTGTGTTTGGTGTTTATAACTGTTCGTGTGTGTTGCTTTTGGCATGTATACTGCGCACATGTGCGGGTTGTGTAGTCCCCTACACACTGATATCAAGGTTTGCAGAATATGCACACTCATGCAAGTCACGTGTTTAATATTATATTAGTCACGTATTCAATATTATACAAAACACTTCATATAATATGGACACGTCTGTCTGAATGTCTGGTGCTGAGTGCATGAGGCTGTGATGTGGGGCTAAATTTATGTCCTTCTGCGTCCACTCCTTCTGAGCGTATACCAACACGTGCATGCTATCCCCATGGCATTGCCGAAACCCTAAACACATGCACACTTTTCTCTTTCCGTAGCCTAATTATGAAACCCTGAACCCCTAAAACATGTGCTTCATATTCCCTTTCCGTAGTCTAACCCTAAAACCCTGAACCCCTAAAACTGCTTCATATCTACAGGCCATCGCCATTCTATCGACTCCGATCTGCGTATATATGATACTGCTGTGGCACGAGGGAGAGTATGGTGCAGGTATGAGTGTGTGTGCCATCGATCTGAAACCCCCAAACCCTACGAGGGGGAGTATGGTGTAGGTATGAGTGTCTGTGCTATCGATTTGAAACTCTAAACGCCAAACCCTAAACCATCAAACCCTACGAGGGAGAGTATGGTGTAGGTATGAGTGGCTGTGTGTGATTTGAAGTGCATGGGAGTGTGGTGTAGATATGAGTGGCTGTGTATGAGTTATAGTGTATGGGATTGTGGTGTAGGTATGAGTGGCTGTGTGTGAGTCAAAGTGTATGGGAGTGTGGTAGTGTGGTGTAGGTATGAGTGGCTGTGTGTGAGTTAAAGGGGAGTGTGGTGTAGGTATGAGTGGCTGTGTGTGATGAGTGGCTGTGTGTGGGTTATTGTGTATGGGAGTGTGGTGTAGATATGAGTGGCTGTGTGTGAGTTAAAGTGTATGGGAGTGTGGTGTAGGCATGAGTGTCTGTGCTGTATGTTTCCTCTGACTATGTCTCTGATGCAAGGTATGTGTATGCACGTGTCTGTGTGTGTGTTGGAGTGTATGGGAGTGGGGTGCAGGTATGACGGTTTTAGGGTTTGGGTTTGTGTGTGCGTTCGAGTGTGTGTGGTCGACTGGGCCCAGGCTTCTTCCACACCTTGTCCATATGACCATACGGTACGAAGACAGCTAGTTGAGCATAACTACTACACACTGCGGAAGTGCCTGTATCTAATGCTGGGCAATACTGGGTGCCCACCTACGTTCCTTCTTCTATCACTCGTTAGCACTGTTTGTCATCAATATGTCCTTCTTAGCCTACTTTCGTTCCATGCCAGCTTGATAATAAGTTAAGCTTAACGTACTGTCCCATTCTAATTCCGCATAGATATATATGTACACTCCTGTCCTAACCTGCTCAACTGTCTACCTACCCCACCCTTCCCCGCACAGAGCGTGAGGATTGGATAGGGTACACACTGGTGGCTGCTTTTGCGGTGCTGCAACTGTTGGGGTTTGCTGCACTTAATCAAATGAAACGCGTTGCTAGGAATGCCGGTAAGTGTTTATGTCCACTGAACGTACTCTACACTTACGTACCGTGTGTGTATACTATGGTTATTTGTTATAGTATGTCGCATATAGACTGGTTGTGTCTCTAAGACGGTAGGCGTTTATGTTCCCTGAGCGTACTCTACACTCACGTACCCTGTGTGTATACTGATTGTGTCTTTATTTTGTTGCTGTATGTTATAATACATATCACATACAGACTGGTGATGTCTTCCTAGTAGAGGTTTTGGCTTTGTCACGCAAAGCATCGAAAGAAATGTATCGTTGAATCCTTTTCCTCCAGTGCGACCGATATATACATATGTGCTTGTACACTCGCAAGCAAATTAATCACTCAGGAGTATAGCCTTCCATGACGAGTGCCACTCTCGTCTATATATGTATATATATGTATATATATATATCTATATATACATACGTACATGCTTGTTATTCCCACACAGGCATCGCTTCTCGTGCGACGTTGGAGGGGGTGCTGTACTCGCGCGTGCTCTTCTCACCCATCTGTGGCCATAACAGTCCCACTGGCGGGGAGTTGGCGGCCATGTTTGGGGCAGACATGGACGCCATATTGCACCTGTGGACCGGAATTTTGGGCCTTATTTTCGGTCCGATCGAGATTCTTATCATTGTAGGGGAGTTGTTCTATTTCGTCCAAGAGGCTGCTTTAGGGGGTATGTATATCAGAGGGGGTGGTTTGTTGTTCACATAAACATTCGCGTGAGTGTATTGCAGTGTGTTGTGGAAGAACAGAGAGATGTAGTGGGTCCACAGCCAGCCGGTCAAATACAATGGCGCAAAGTGTTGTAGTTGTATGCTGCACGTGTGGCGATGTGACTTCATCCCTAAGAACCACGGCATTGTAGGACCATACATCCATTCACATTGCTCTCCATCTCTATGCCACATTTCATCAACAACTGGGAGGTGAGTTCAGCCGATTAACACAAATACTATCATGCAATATATATATATATATCAAGTCTTTGTACTATCTGACTTTTTCTGCATACCTCCCATCTCCATCACACTGTGCACAGCCATCGGAGTGGTTGTGGTTGTCATGGTGATCTTCCGTATAGTCGGTGGTATCATGGAGAAGCATTCAGGACCTCGTGCAAAGCTTTCGGATGATCGCTGTCATATAGTGCACGAGTATCTTCAGGGGACTAAGGTGGTCAAGGCAAACGCCTGGGAAGACCAGTTTGCCGCCAAAATCAGTGCTGTGAGGAATGAGGAGGTGCGTCTGTGAGCTTATGCGAGAGATATATATATATATTGTGTGTGTGTGTGTGTACGTATATATATTTATATATATATATAGGAAATGTGTCGATGCTTTTCATATAGACTGCATATGTTTTTTTATATGCTAGTACACATTTTGCACACGTATAGTTCGGTATAGGTTTTGTGTGCACAACCTACTAGTGAGTGCATCTGGCCGTTGCAGCCGATTGTGGCGAAAAGTACTCCTGTGCGAAAGAAATAATCTATCTGTACGTGTAAGTACATAGGAGTGAGTCTGTATGTATTCGTATACTATTACGAGAGCGACAAAGGTGTATCCTTGCTCATTCTTTTCCTGCCTGGTATCTATATATATGTATATGTATATGAATTTATATATATATATACATATATATATATATATATATATATACATATATATGTATATGTATATATATTATACACTCCCCATACCTGCCAATCGCCCATCCCAAATGCCACCGCACTTTCAGTCGGCCAAAGCTCAGCTACTCAACCTGCTGATGGGGGCCCTTAACGTCTCCGGCAACAACTCCATTGACGTCATATCTCTGGCAATTGTGTCCATTTACACCCTTGGCATGGGCAATGTGCTAGTGTCGTCCATCACCTTCACCATCTGGATTGTACTAGGTATCCTCCACGGGAAGATCTTCCATTTCCCCGGTAGGTGTTGTGTGTGGTTGTTCTATTTATGGGCAATGTCTTAGTGCATGGAAAGATCTACTTCCATTTCCTCTGTTCTTGTAAGGAAATATTACTACTCTAGTAGAACAAGCATGAGTTGGTTGCCTAGCAACCGCCTTACATTTACCCGTACCTGATATTTGGTATGTGCTGCGCAATGAGACAGTAGATCGTAGGCTATCACTAGTACTTAACTAGTTATAATAATAGTACTTATCTAGTAACAATAGGCATGAGCAGGTTGCCTAGCAACCGCCTTGCATTCACTCAAAAGTGCTGTTGTTTGTATGTACCTAATATTTTGTATCTGCCGATCTAGGCTATTTTGATGAGGCCATGACTGCCTGGACATCCATCACACGTGTGGCGATGTTCATCTCTCGGGAGGGCATTAAAACCGGCTCCACCAATGAGAACGCAAAGAAACCCGCCGACATGTTGCTCACGCTGGATAATGCAACGTTCGCGTGGCCAGTGGCTATGGGAGCCAATCATAAACGAGATTATGTTTCCGAGGTTAGATTGCAGGAGAAGAAGCAAGGTCTAAATGAACGAGAGTGTAAGTTACGGAAGTGTTAACAAAGTGTTATCGATTTAGGGTTTTAGGCTGAACCCTAAACCCTAAAACCTTTAACAAAGTGTGACAAGATGCAGTTTTGGCTGGAGGTCTTGCTTGATTGTTGTACATCTTGTAACGTGATGGACGATCGTTCGAAGCTGGGACAGTGTGCTGTCGAGATAGCCAGTATCTACCCGATAGTGTATCGGGGCCAATTATTATTAGTCCATGTCTCGGCCATTCTGTCTATTGAGTGTATGTGCAGTGTGGATTCCAAAGTGTTATAGTTTAAGGTTTAGGGTTTTAGAACCATTTCTCCACCGGTATGTGTAGTCTTTGGTTTGTGTAAATTGCAAAGTGTTATGGTTTTAACATTCTGAGGTAAATCATAGCCTACTACGAACCACTTCGAATAATTGATATGAACACTGTACTTAGTGCTGCCTTAGAGTGAAACATAGGACGAACTCGTATATATACATATTATATTATACTATAATATATATATATATATATATATATACTCATACCCATACTCATACCCATACTTAAACTCGTACACTTACACATATATATATCCGATATGAATCATAACCCACTACATGCACCACTTGAAATAATCTCAGCTGACAGTGCCGCAGCCGTAGACATCGACTCAACCGCTGCGATCTCACCCGTTGGTGCCGCTGTTGGCAATGGCCGGTCGTCCGTACCAGATGTATGTCGTTGTTATTATTCGCTGGTCTTGAGTTCTCAGGGTTTTAGGGTTTGTTACTAGCATGAGTATATGTATGGGCCTACTATATATGACAGCCTTCAGAACATAATGATTTCCGAGAAGTAGTAAGTTCTAGAATATTGCTGTTTTTTTAAGGCTGTATTGTTGCCTACAACCCACAACTTATACGATAAAACGTATCGTTTGGGAAGTTGTCTGATTACGTTCAATCTAATAGTTTCGGTATACTATCTGTTTACATACTCAATCTGACCGTTTACATATTCAACCTTTCTTTTTACGTACTCAATTTCACCGTTACGTATTTAATCTATCTGATTACGTACCATTTAAACGTTCACGCATTTTGTCTATCGCTTACGTCTTCAATTTATCCGTTAACGTATTCAGTCTATCTGATTACGTACAATATGACCGTTCACGTATTTTGTCTATCTGCTTACGTCCTCAATCTAACCATTTACGTATTCAGTCCACCTGGTTACGTACAATCTGACCGTTTACGTATTTTCTCTCTCTGTTCTCGCACCCAACCCACCCGTGTATATACGTATTCAATCCTTCCATTTACGTACCCAATGCACCCGTTTTATTATTCAGGTGCATGTCGCAACACCACAGACCAGCGAAGTATCCAAACGACTGCGACTGAGGCGCAGAAAACCCAAAGCCCAACAGACCGTTCGATCGTCTGTCTCTTCTCGAGTGGCCACAGTAGACGATAACGTAGAGACGGTCATGGAGGGTGCGGGTATGCGAGTAGAGGTGGTGGTTAGGCTGTATTGTTGGTGTATGTGTGTGGATGTGTGTGGATGTGTTTGTGTGTGTTGTGTATATGGATGTGTGCAAGTATGTGTCTATATGAGGTGCGTATGTATGTGTGTATGTTATGCATATGTATATGTGTAGGTATGTGTGTGTATGAAGCGCGTATGTATGGGTGTAGGCGCGACTTCCGCCATCTCTGGCATTATATGAATAGAACGCCCACTCAGTTGATATTCCCGTCTCCTCTGGCATTCTATAAATAGAATCCTCCTCCCCATTGGGTGCCGTTTCCGAGTACCAATCAGATACGGCCGAGGATTTAGTGGTGTGTCTGAATGACGTCACTCTGGCTGTACCACGAGGATGTCTCATGGCACTCGTCGGCACAGTGGCCAGTGGCAAGTCCAGTCTTCTTCAGGTGAGAGTTCCAGTCTATGTACAACGCAAATTTCATATTATATATATATATATATATATATATATACGTATATATATATATATATATTAGTCTTTGTTATTATCTACTTACTATGTT